GTGCAGTTCAGGCAGAAAATAGGGGTTGCTCCATTTACGCACACCTAACACAGGACTACTGGTAATACCACACTGAACAAAATGCCGAAGTTCCTGAAAGTGTGCATGGGGTTGTGATTTCCTTGGAAGGCATTGATCTGCCTGGTTGTCTTCTGCAGGGGACAACAGCATAACAGACGGCCGCACAGTGGTACTTCTGCTAATCCCTTAGTTTACCTGCCTTGCGGAGATAAACGACAAAAAAATTCAAGAGCAGTTCTTTGCATTTAATTGTTTGCTAGTATTAGTTCAGTTTCTTTTAAAATTAATTGCATGTGTGGCATATTTTAATCCATTTTCAAAATTATCCAAATGGTTGCCTGTTTTGACAGTTCTGCAGGACGTTTCAGTTAGACGTTTTAGTTTTAAGAAAATCCAAAGTGCAAAAGTCACTTGCTTTTCCAACGAATTTTCAAAGCTGCATAAGAATGTCTGTATAAGATAGGAATAGCATAAAAGAACACGGATTCTGTCAAAATCTTTAAGAAAATCATATAAAAGATTTTGAGTTTCTGTCATTGCAGTTTCAGTACTAGAAGCTACTGTACATAAAGAACAGTTTACTAAAAGACAAGGAAAAGCATACAAGGTTTGAAATGTTTACAATAGTGACAGCAGTGAATAATGTAGTTGCATATGAGCAAAGTGTATTATGCTGCAGAAATGCATTTACTGTCCAGTGCAATACTAGTAAATATGTTTTTTTTTGCAGTGGTTTTCTAAATGAGAATAGCTGTTCTACAGCAGTGTTGACTTATTTTTAACATGACCTTAAGCTTACCTTACATGCTCTTACTGTTTCTCCTTAATCTCAGGGCCCTGGGTTACAAGCAGGGAACCCAGGTCAGGTGTTGCCATGACAGCAGGCATATCCATCAGGATGTGCTCATAGCCACATTTCCTCTTGCACCGTCTGCGGTTCTCGTTCACAGAATGTGACCGGATCACGGCCCTAGTTTCCTGAGCTGCTTTTGGACTGTAAGTGCTTTAGAGTGAAAGGGTCTGAGAGGCGATTTCATCACTAAGTAAACATTTGAATACCGATGGACACATTGGCAACCGTCCAGCCTTCCTGATTGCAGCATTAATTGAAACGATTTCCTGACTTTTCTAGAAAGCTTATTTTGCCGTTCTGGAAGAGAGCCTAATGTTAATAATCCATCCAAACCCTTTTCTAAACACTTTATATCCAATTCAGAGTCGTGGGGAAGCCGGAACCTATCCTGGCAAGCAAAGGGCACAAGGCAGGATTGATCCTGGACCAGACACCAGTCCGTCCCAGCGTAGACACAAACACACAACAGGGCCGATTTTACTAGAAGCCAATTAAACTACTGGTATGTGTTCAGATTGTGGGAGGAAACAGGAGCACCAGGAGGATACCCGCTCAAACAAGGAGAAAACCTAAAAACTCCAAACAGAAAGCACCTCAGGAATTGAACAAACAATTGATTATAGCAAATTATTGGTTGATTAAGTCAGTTAAGGATTCAGTGCCATGATTGAAGATCCCTTTTCGGAAGTACAGGATGGAGTCCGAAAGCTTTCTATTGCTTCGTTGTTGGCCTCTCTTGAGATATTTCTTCTGTGAGGAAGCTGACTTCCATGTTGGACCACAGCCCAAAGCCTTTTTCTATGGCATTATTTTCAGATTTTGCTTTTGTGTTCGTTTTGCTTAAAAGCATAAACCAGACACTGAAGCTTTCTGGGCATTTCCTCCAGAAGGGAAAGAAATATCCACTTTGGGCAGCAGGACTGGGGCTGGAGTCTTTCCCAAATAGTTTCAACACAGAGGTTGGGCTCTGTGGGAGCGCTCAAGGCCACCTTCAGTAAGAAGTGTTTCCTGAATACATCAGAAAATGACAAAAAAGGGATTACACACAAGAGGCCACTCTGTCTGTTTTCTCTCTGTTGGTTTTAGTAGCTTGTTTGGCCCAAGACCCTCATGTGTTCATAGGGGGTGAAAGAACGGAAACAGTCTTTTGTGGGGATCTGAAATGTTGGGGATCCAAACTAATACAACTGCTCTTGCCATCCAATGTGCCTCGATGCCACATATAGACCATCACCTCGCTTGCGTCTCGTGCAGATCGTGCTTGATTTGAAAGGGCAACTCTGACTGCAGAATTAAGAGAGCTGTGGATGAATTGCATTCAGCTGTACAGTAACAGTTATACAACTGTAACAGAAATCGTCTCACCCCCCCTCGTTCACTCTTTGCTCTCGCCACCCCCTGCATATTTCTGGAGAGGTAACTGGAAAGTATCACAACGCTCCATTAGATATGTAAAACTGCCCACCACAGGAGGTAGGGGATGTAGCTTGTCGAACCGGCACTCGTGATTTCTGAAACGATGATTTCATGCCGAAGATCTGAGGGGCAAGCTATTTATAGAGTTGCGTCGGAAGTCTCTTTTTTATCATTTGTGATTCCTGGCATATTTCCTTGGCGCCTGGCTTTGGCGGCTGTGCTCCTGCCGTGCTCCGGGGAAGAAAGGGTCTTTCCAGAACGCCGTTGGAAAGCTAATCCATAACTGTATCCATGAGAAATGTAAAGTTGAAGTTTACATAGTGACTTTATTCTACGTGGGTTAGGGATTAGACTTAAATCTGGACAGTTGTGGATTTAGGTCTTGCATTCAGGGGAGGCCTTGTTATCTGTGAGCAACCTATAAAGAGGATCATTTTTTATTACAGAGTGGTCTTTTAAATGCTTCTGCTCATATTGTCATTTATGCCCTTTCCCTGATCAACCAGCATCAACATGCCTTACCCAGCTGAGCTCAGATGCTGATTTCCAGTTCTTTAGTTGCAGAGTTTTAAGGGGAAGTTGTGTAAGTGCACAAGGGAGAGAATCTCTGAATTTCTTTTTTTTCTGCTACTAGTCAATCCATCCACCCATTTTCCTCCGATTCAGTCTTGCGGGGGAAGCTGGAGCCTATCCCAGCCAGCGATGAGCGCGAGGCAGGGTACATCCTGGATGGGACGCCAGGCCATCTCAGGGCAGACACAAACACAAACTACACACACACCAACAGGGCCAATTTTCCTAGAAACCAATTAGCCCACCAGTGTGTCTGGAATGGGGGAGGAAAGCAGAGTACCCGGAGGAACAGGGAGAGAACATGCAAACTCCACACAGACAGCACCCCAGGAATTGAATTCAGGGCCCAAGGCCGCTGTGAGACAGCCATACTAACCATTTCGCCACTGTGTCACCCTCCCACTGCCATCAAAATAGGTGGAAACTGGAATTGAGACGTAATTCAACTTAAACAGGTGTGAAGGCCTCTGTGATATGAGCTAGGCCCAACATGTTGACAGAACGGCCTTTGGGTTCTATACAGCAGGTGAGCCGAGCGGTTGTCTTTTTGCAGTATTGCAAAAAGAATCCAGTCCTGGTCACAGGCCACTCTTGTTTATCTGAGAACTTGCACCAGCACTTCCCTAAAAACCCTTACAGCGCAGACACAGAAAAGTATGCACCTCCTTTCTCCTTAGAAAACGACTGGCATGGGAATTCCCTGCTATCTCCTCCACAGTTTCCATAGCAACAGATAGGCAACGTGCACTGCTCAGTGTGCTCCTGTACAGTCAATGCATGTACTGTAGTAAGGTCTTGGCTTAAATGGCAGAGTTGTTCTGTGAGTAGGCGGTGATGTGTTATAGGTCTTCTAAGTTGTTACTAGCATCAGGACCTGCACAGAGCGAAGCAATTGTGTCACTGGCGTAACTGTGTCAAACGAGCTTCAGAAATTCATTTCTCTGATATGAGTTCCAGTCTTTATAACATCGGAGGGGAGGCTAAACATTTTAAAGTTATTGATTTTTTTTCTGGCATTCCAATATGGGCCTCCTGAGCTGAAGATCATGGTGTGCTGATTGGATTTTCCTTTCCTTTTGTAATGCTCCTTTAGAGCCTGCAGGATTTTGACATTTTTTAAATGTATAAATGTCATATTTTAAGCAAAAATTGCTTAAAGCAACTGCAGGGTTCAGCTCAAATGAAGATTTTTTAAATCCTCCAATAATCCCTGAAAAGGGCCAAATAAAAAATGAACCGTTATTACCATACGTATTATCCACAAGCAACATGAACTGACTTTAATATTAAAGAAAAACACTAATGAGTCTCTATGTTACCATTGCATTAGAGCATTTGTTTTGTTTATTGCAGTAATGTAATTTTCGATTTAGCCCATGTTCACAGATGAATCATTTTTTTAAAGTGATACATTAATGTTGTTAATAAAAAATCAATTGAAAGGAACTGTGACATTAAGGGAAGCAGGCAGCACCATCTGGGCTCATTTTGGCTCCTCCTGGAGTTTCGGACAGTCTGGACAATTTGCCAAATTTACAGACCTGTAAACAGTCAAAGCAAGACCTGAGCTCGTGCTTTGCAGCAGTAAGCACAGTGCCTAGAAAAGTATTCGCCCTCGTCTAATGATGCCCTTGCGTCTCTACTGGTACCACGTCCCACATGGCATCACAGAACAGGCACATAATAGCTTCTTCCCCAAAGTGTGGTTCTAATTTGTATGGGAATTGTTCATGTTGTCTTATAAGCCTTCCAAAATTATATTACACATGCACAGTGTGTGTTAACAGTACATGAATCATCACCAGCTCTGGTCTGGGGGTTTTATGAACTCGACTTCTTTTTGCCCTTAACACTCTTATCTTAAAAGTAGAGTAGATTGACCATTCTTCAAAGGGCACAGGTGGTTTCACGGTGTGATCGCTTGTTTTAGCAGACGCATTTGCTTGGCTTCTCCGATTTGCTCTGCTCAAAGGACGGGCCGCGCTAAACACCGTTTACCAGTCAAAACGGTCTTCTGGAAACACCGCCTGGTCAGACTGTGAGGAAGCCGGTCAGGAGGTTTGGCCAGCAGTGTCTCGCTGGAGGGCTGTGTGCCTCTGGGAAGGATCTGATGATGTTCTTCCTGTGCTTCTTACAGGGACTTCCTGCCACGAGGATCTGGGATCGTCACCCGGCGCCCCCTTGTGCTCCAGCTCATTAACTGTCCCACAGGTAACGACCGAGCTGTTTTTGTCTCTGATCTCCTAACCAGCTTGCACACGGCAGGTCCCACTGCCTTGTAAGGTGCCCACCCTCGGCCGGAGAAACACTGCCTCTTTTTCCACTTGACAAATCTTAAGCCAACGTAGCCAAAGTTTTGCTGTTGTCCTAGCTGTTGGAGGAGAACCACACAAAAAAAAAAAACGATGTGCTGTTCTGGATGCAGAGGGAACTGATTTAACCTGACCAGCACTTCCACCTCCTGGTGATTCCAACACCTGCTGGTCTTTCATTCAGTAATTGAGACCCCGATGCCTGCTTTGTTTTTTTTTTGCCCCTAAATATTAATGTCAGATTACTTTTTGCACGCATAAGCAATCAATGGTGAATCACAAGTTATCCCAAACAATTTACAAAACACCTTGTATTACAGATCACTGTAATGTTAGGTGGATCAGAGTTCTGCAGTGCCTTCATATTATAGTAGGTACTGAAAAAGCATCTAAAGTTGATAAGAATTGAAACTAAGATTATAAACCATAAAGACCGGTCTTATATACATTTAGATATACAGCATTTATACTTTGGAGTATTGTTTCATGATGTCAAAAATCGTGAGATGGAAACGAATGAGACTCATTTAGCCCACAGGTTTGGGAGTGTCATGGCTCTTGCATTTACATTTCTTTCCGCCTGGGGCTCAACAGAAGCAGATCAGCCCCCCTGACAGGCATCTGATGGAAATGGAAATAGATTCACGTTGCTATCTAACAGGGCAGCACGTAACTCTGAGCGATTCTCATGCGACAACGAATGTGCCGCCTCAGTTATAACAGCTGGCGCTGGTGCTGAGAGAGCAACCTACTTCTCCAATAAAGTAAATATTTTCTTTAGGAAAAAAAAACAAGGGCTTTCTTAAAGTGTTTGCTCCTATCAACACTGCCATCTAGTGTAATATCCAATGCTCAATGGAAACCAACTTAGCAGAGATCCAACCAGATTGAGAAAAAAAAATAGACCACATATTACAGTATAAACTTATTTACTACATAGTTGACCTTATTTTACTTGAGTGTAAAAAAGCCCCAGTGTTCTAAGGATTGACTTAAGCAAAATTAATGATTTGATGACAAACTTGTGCATGAAAACTCATCAACCGTCATCTTGAAAAATGAACAAAATACTTCGAAGGGGAATGAACTCCAGAGATCAAAAGCAGGTTTCAACCCTCAAGTAAAAATCAGTAAGGAATAAGTATAGGTTTCTAAGAAGTGTGTGTGCGGAGTTATCAAATGCAGCCTACAATTGAAATATTCCAGATATCTTTTGGATTCTGTCGCTAAACTACAGCTCCATTCCCAGGTCTCATCCCATTCATGGGGCTCAGCAGTGGTCAGTCCAAAAAATCAGGTCACTGCTGTGTGCAGTATTGGTGGGCAGGTGGTGCTTTATTTAGACTACAATTTCAAAGACTTACTCTACAACTTATTCATTTATGTGGCTTATTCCTTTATCCAAAGTGACAACTTTCCACCCATTTATACATGTAGATATATCGGAACAGTTCAAGCACCCTGCCTTAGTTAAGGGCACAACATAAGCATCTCAGCTGGGACTTGAACCCACGGCCTTCTGGGTCTAAGCCAGAAAATCTTGACCACTGCCCCAGTCTGGTCTGGCTAAATTTCCATTTTGGCCTTGAACACTCACCCTACCTGAAGATCAATCACCCTACCTGAAGAACAATCTGAAGTTCCCTTTTATTTCAGCTAGGAGTGAAGAAATGTCTCACTTCTCTAATTTGTGTGTTTGTGTAAGGTGCTGCGGGCACAGAAAAGATGATACACCTCCCTCAGGAGGGATTTGCTCTTCAGGGGAGGATAAAGAGGGTCTCCTTCTATGTGCTTTAAGGTCCTTTGAGATTAAAAACACTATACAAATAGTTTTTTTTATTCTTATGAATAATTAAATCTATAGAAATCACAAAAAAATGATTTTTATCTATTTTGAAAAGGCCTGGATTTTTTTGAAATGTGACCCACTGGTCACCAAATTCAAAACCTGGGGAGGACAGTGCCTTCCTATAGGGTAGAAAGAAGAGACCAACAGCAAGCTGCTGTTGAGGGATATTTTAAAATGGTGTGACTGGTGATACCATGGAATTTTTTGGGGGGGCTTTCCAAGGAACATAGGTCTGGAATTGCTTCCTCAAGACTCTTGAGAATATGGCAGCGCTTTATTCCAAATACTAGAAATAAGGTTTTAAGTGATATTTAAATAACTTACAAAGGTTTAGTCAGAAAAACAGGTATAGCATATGATGCCAATAACACATGAAGGCTATGAGTTAGAGTTTTTTATTGGCTCTCTGAGAACAAAAGCGACTTTTGCATTACAGCACTGAATGCTCTGTAAAATGTCATTTTACAAAGATGTTATTGGAAAACAGCACTGAGCCCTGTTTACAACATTCAGTATGTTATTTGTGCCATACAGGTTGCATTAAAAAGTAAAGGGCTGCACAGTGCTTAGTCAATTTTGTTTTTGTTGAGCTCCACGTCTGCTACAAGCCTGTGTTCAGAGGACTCTCTTCTCTGGTCAGATTACTGTACACTTGGGGATTGTTTTTGGTTGTTTTTAAAAGCTGCCCTCTCTGCCTGGGTTGACACTTGTAATCAACTCTGTCACCAGGTTGTCTGTGTTTCTAAACTAAGTCCACTTTCCCAAAGATACCTTCCTCGAACAGCTACAGTGATGAGACAGCAGGGAACAACATCAGGCATTTGGGATGCAGAATCAGGCGATTGTGGAAATGGTACAGCCAAAAATAGGATAAGGATTAAGCAACCAGCTTCACATCTTCTTTCTGTGAGTCACTGCTCCCTTAGAGAAACTGCTCATTTTAAAAAATGTGAGAATGAACAAGAACATGAGAAACAAAGGGAGGTTAATTGCGAGCTGAAAAGCAGAAAGGAAAAAGAAAAAAAAGGACGTTGCAGATACATGCCATATTTTTAATATATATAGCAGTAGGGTAACACTTGCTGTTCTACATTTTGCAAGAGCTGTCATCCGTGGAGCCTTATCCATGTGTGTGGGAATGAGAGTGAGAGAGCAGGAATAATGTACAATATCAGGGATAGGGAAAGGTAAGGAGGACAAGATAATGAACGAGTCGCCAAAGAAGTGGGAGACTTCTTTGGGAGACAAATTCCGAAGGAAATGTGAAAAGACGTGATCGATAGTTTGAAGAGAGATTCAACGAGGTAAGGTTAATTTCTGTCCTGGTATCCATTTGATCGATGATTGACCCAGACAGAAAGGTCAGTGTCGTCATGGATGAGAAATTCCCAGTGGGGAATTACTGTATCCACTTCGATCAGGAAGAGGTCTTTCATCCATACTCTGACATATTTTCCCTGAAATGGCTGGCTGGTCACTTTCCTCTTTCAGCAGTGGAACTGCCTAGGTCCTTTCTGCAGTAAGGGAGATGGGCGGACAGACATGATGCCCTTTAGGTGATTTTGAAATGGCCAGTGGAGCTGTGTGTATTCATGCAAGTGGACCTGTACAGTATTTGCAGGTGATGCAGAGAGCAGGATCAAGTGGACAAGAAGGCTGTGCAGATCAGGTGGACAGTGATCGGACATGATTGACGGTTCTGGGGAAAAAAAAGGCTCCAGTTGAAGTTTCCTCCTGTTAAATGGAGAAGATTGAATCGTCTAATTCATCTAGTAGTTAGAATCTCATCCAGGGTCAAAGCTTCGAGAACATGGCTGGGCAGCTTGTTCCACACTCCCGCTACTCCTTGTGTAAAGGAGGGCTTCCTGTTCTGCTTGGATGACCCCACCCTGCTGTTTAATGATAGAAGCCAGGGTAATGGCTTCAATAACATAGCTGGGTAGCTAGGTCTATATTCCCACAAGCCTTTTTGTATAAAGAAGTTCTCAGTTTTAAATACACTTCATCATAATGTTCACTGGTGCGGTTGGCTTCATGTTTCACTGTTGATTCTGAGCACTGGGTTGACTTTGTCAACGGCTTTCCCTAATAGTCCCCTCACAGTCTTCCCTGTTCAAAACCACAAGAATGACAAAACGTTCTAGGCTGCATTCCACCGTTTGTCGTGGTGAGAATTCCCCCTCCAAACTCCTGTTCAAACTGTTCTCTCAGAGGGTCAGAAGATGAGAACCCAGTGATTGAGTTCAATGGATGATAACTTAAGGGCAATTGAGAGGTAACATATTAATGAACAGGGGGGTGAAAAAAAGCTATTTGAATAGTTTTAGAATGTCAAATGTCATTGAACTCCAATCCAGGTATGGTGCCTCTTAGATCTCCAATCGTGTCAAGCTGGGAGGTTAGCTTTATGGTATAGGGAACTCCTCTGCAGTAGATGTGGGCTGTGTAACTATAGCACTGAGGTACCGCAGAAATGATGGACAAGACCCAGGGACAAACACAAACACCACAAAACCCTGAGGAGATGAACCATCGGGGAGCAATAAGGGTTGATTCAGTAACCTCACAAAAAAAGACAAAGTCTGGAGTCCACAGGTTCACCCACCTAATCTTCCTAGTAGGTTCACTGGATTGGCTAGGCTTCACTCATTTCATGTTGAAATCTCTTGCCTGTGTTGGTGTTAGTTATCAGTCCTGCAGCAGCTTCTTTGCCGACACCTGTCGGGTTTAACGAAGATCTTGCCCTGCATTTAAGCCAGTGCTCAAGGAACCCTGGTTTGAAACTTTGTTAAGAGAAACAGGACACGTAAAGCAGCCCAGCAACAGTTAAGCCTAGACTCTGAGGCCAGGAGAAACAGCAATAACATTAATGATAATGAAGATGAAAGGCATTTATACACCTGTCACAAAAGGTGTCCCAGGATGATGGCTAAACATTAAATAAGAAAATTACTGAAATAAATTACACCAGTCAAACTATAAAAAAATAGTATATATAAAAAGCTGCAGTTACTGACAACACTACTGGCTTATAAGGCTAATATTCCAGCAGTGTGGTTACAGTCCTGGATTCATAAAGTAGAGGATTGTGGTTTTAAATCCCAAGAAGGGCATAGCTGTTGTAACCTCGAGGCAAGGTCATTCACTTGGATTGCTTGCATAAAATGTCTAATATCTTTATAAAAAGGTGAACTACAGTATCTACATATCTTTTTTTATAGGGGTTATTCATTGTTTCTGGTATTCAGACCCTGTTAGCTTCTCCCAGCTATGTCCTTTGTTAATAAATGAAGGGTAACAGTATTACCATCAGGTTATCCTTGTTTAAATGACCAATCTACCTCTTTAGCTTCAGTTAAAGGCCCTTTGTTCCAAGTCTAAAGTGATTTCGGGTGATGTTCAAAACCTGGGATTTTGTGGCTTTCTAATATTAGTGTTGGAGACCTCTGTCCATTCGATCTCATTGCCTGTGCTTTGCATTCGTTTCTCCTCTTATCATGGTAGTTTGGCAGTAAGATTGGGTTACTGAAAAATCCAGACCTGCTGTTGCCTGATCTCTCATCTCTTCTCCCCCTCATAGAATATGCCGAGTTCCTGCACTGCAAGGGGAAGAAGTTCACCGACTTCGATGAGGTGCGACAGGAGATCGAGTCCGAGACGGACCGAGTCACGGGGATCAACAAGGGCATCTCTCCTATCCCCATCAACCTGCGGGTCTCTTCTCCTCACGGTACGGGCCTAGCAAGGCAGGGAGGAGGCCAACAAGTGCTGGGGAGACCCCTGAGCAGCACTCCACTATCCCCACTGGGGTTTCTCCTGCAGACTCTCGGGAACTGTTCTTGCAGGAGCATTGTCAAGTGACAAGGCTGGCACATCCACAAGACGAGCAGTTTAGGTGCAAATCCATGTCTGTCTTACATTCTACAACTTGGGGGACAAATATGAAAACTCATTGATATATTTTCTAAAAGAAACATTGTGGCTCATCCAGTGAAGCAGGATGTACCATAAGATTTAAAGCTTCTTTCTTGGACAAGTTACTCCCTAACTGTAATCATGATTGGCTGCAGTTGGCTGGATTTTCTGCTCATCAGAGTGTCCCTAGCTGCCATTTGGACACTTGTGAGCCTGTGGTGTTATCAGTGGTGTTGGATTATTCCTCTTCCCAGCGTTAAGCTCTGCTGGTCATTCACAGTGTGAAAAGGGGCAGACAGCATCATAGTGCTACTTCCATGGAGTTGTCTTCATCTCTGGATGTTCTGAAGGTTTGTTACTGAATATCAGTTGGATATTTCAGATTGGTGGGCGTAGAAAGGTTAGAAGGAATTCACAGTTCTACATTACACGAATAAGAAAGCAGATATCTGTCTTCCCCTGCGTAGTTTTCTTCAAAGAAACCATCAAAGCGCAGTGTTTGTCTTCTTCATTGGGTTATCTGTCTCGTCGCAGTGTTGAACCTCACCCTGGTGGACTTGCCCGGAATGACCAAGGTGCCCGTGGGCGACCAGCCCCCTGACATCGAGCACCAGATCCGAGAAATGATCATGCAGTTCGTCACCAAGGAGAACTGCCTCCTCCTGGCTGTGTCCCCGGCCAACTCTGACCTCGCCAACTCGGACGCGCTCAAGATTGCCAAAGAAGTCGACCCACAAGGTAGGAGGGCACGTGAGACTCCGAGTAAGAACAGG